TTTTTTTTTTTTTTTTTTTTTTTTTTGTTTATGAATTGAATTATATGAATCCCCCTTTTCGCCCCCATGTAGAATGTATATGTTCCAGAGACAGAATGAAGAAATGAAACCAGCATAGCATTCCCTCGGTTATAACTTTATTTACTAATTTGTTGACCTGCTTAGGGTGTATATTTAACCTGCTAACTCAAGAACCAACCCGAATTATAATGGTTTGGTTGGATTTAAAAGGATTTTGGATTTGAGTTGGGTTTGTTTTTTGGAATCTAATCTGGTTTAGCTTGGGTTAGGTTCAAAATTTAAATTATTGGGTCAATCTAATCCAACCAAAAACCTTTAAAAATAAATAAATAATAAAATAGGCTCAAGTCCCTCTCCCCAAGTCCATGAGTCTTCATCTGCGTCTGCCCCTGGTGCACCTGCACTCTCCAGAGGGTCTCTCTTTACTCGCTGTGAGTTCAAGACTTTGTCTCGCAATCTCACATAGAGTTCGTTTTCGATCTTGAGGGTAATTGGGTAAGTGAAATGAAGTCTTGGCCCTTGCATCACAGCATTCGTCTTCATCGTTTGTTGTTCGACTCCTCTTAGCTTTCTGTATGTTGTTCAACTTCACGGTTTTCATCTCACTCTTGTTTCGTCTCTGCGTGTCGTTGGTCGCTCACCTCTTTATTTCTCCGTTGGACTCTCTTCTCAGTTCCCATTTCTCTACTCAACCTTGTCTTTGTGTTTCTCGTCTAACGTTGCCGACTGTCTTTCTACTCGGCGCTCAGTTAGTTGTTTCACAACCCGAACCCAACCTAAAAATTTTTGGGTTGGGTTACCTATCCAACCAACCCGTACTTTTGGGTTGGTCCAAAAAAATTCCTCAATTCAACCTAATTCAACCCAACCCAACCCAACCCTAAGCGGCACAAATTCTCTCTACAATACCGAAGATCTTAAACAAATTTGAATGGTTCTTTCCGTACCGAGTAAACTAAGGGTGAAGATTGTCTTGTTAATTGTCAACCCAATAACAACGACAACAATCATCAAAGAAACAGTCCAATAGAACTATAGGTTGCAAGTTATTGAAAGGCAATCACAAAAATAAACGAGAAAGGTATAACGATGAGTAATAAATACCATTATATAGATTGCATAGATATCTCTAGCTACCGTGAAGAGCAAAGTACAGGAATTTCTGGGACTACTTGTTGAAGAGAATGTTGATGAGGGTCCTAAACAAGGGTCCCCTTCCCCTTTTGGTATGGAGAATCTCCTTCACATCCTTCTCATTAGGCACAAACCCCTTAGCCTCCATTTGCACCAACAACTCTCTTGCTTCATCCACTTTGGCATCCCTCACAAGAGCCTCAAAGACGGCAGTATAGGTCCCAGCATTGGGTCGCAATCCCCTGCCCATCATTTCCAGCAAGAACTTCTTCGCATCCCCCACGAACTTGGGATCCGCAGCAAGCCCTTTGATTAGAACAGTGTAAGTATAGGCAATTGGGGTCACTCCAGAGGCAAGCATTCGCAGGTACACCTTGTGAGCTTCCTTGCTCTGACCCGCATTCACATAGGCTTCTATGACGGCTGTGTGGGCGACAACATCAGGCATGTGACCTTTGTCCTTAATTTCAGAGAAGAGCTGCAGAGCCTCGTGGGTTAGACCATCCTTAGACATTTCGTCGAACATCTTGACGGCATTGTTTAAAAAACCATCTGTCCTCATCTTATGGAAGATTTCCTGCAAATTCTTTGGGTCTTCCGCCTCTTCCACAACCGGCTTCTTGCTGAAGGGATCATACGGCGGTGGGAGATTTTTGGTTTTGCCCACTTCTTCTACGGACCCAACCCGAAAATCGTCTTCTTCGTCTTCATCCGAGTGTGGGATTGAGAAATTGACTTTGGTGTTGATCTTGTTAGCTTCTGAAGATGAGGAGTAGGCGAACAATCTGTTGTTGCAGGCGTTGATATAGAAAATGGTCGGTGGTTTGCAACGAAAATGATGATTTAGAAACGATGGGTTGGGGGAGAAGGATGAAGGAGATGAGGCGATGGTGGTGCAGGCAACAAGAAGGGCTCGAGTTATTCTGTTCGCCATAGCCTTGGCGAATTGCGCGTTAACCTCCCTCTCTGTAAGTGGGGATGCGGCAGATGGATGCTGTTCGGCGGAGTGCGCTGCAAATGCTCTTTCCTGTGAGTTCTTAACAAGTTTAGAACTGAAAAGAGGCATGGCAAATCATGTTACTCTCCCCCATCCTCCCTCCTATGATGATGATGATGATGTTGTCCACTTGCCTCGTACAAATAAAGATAGAATTCTTTAATTATAAACGCGTGATCATTTCCTAAATTAGCCGACGTGGGACTTTCATCTAAAAGAAAAAAGAGTCGAGGCTACTTTCATCTAAAAGAAAAAAGAGTCGAGGCTCCTCGAAGGCATAGTAAAAAATGACTAAGACACCAAAAGAAAAGGAATCGAGCCTTGATTAAGGGGAGACGTACTTTGTTCAAGGGGAGGTGTTGGATGAAAATACCACATCTGCTCATTTGGGGAATGATCATGAGTTTATAATCAAGACATACTCTCTTCATTGGTACGAGGCATTCTAAAAAAGCTCAAATCAAAGTAAACACTATTATACCATTGTAGAGAATCGTGTTCATCTAACACTCCGTGTGAGTTCTTAAGAAGTTTAAAACTAAAATTAAAAATAAATAAATAGAGCCTTTTAATTATAAAAGAACTTGTTATAATATTAAATTTGAATTTTTAAAATTTATGCAAAATATTATATATATATATATATATGTGTGTGTTTATTCATGAAATATATAACTCATAAAGATTTTTTTTTTCTTTTTTTTTTTTAAATTTTTAATAAAAATTACATTAAAAAAATAAAAAGAACCCAATCCCATATTTCCTCGAGAAGAATCTCTACTCTAATCCTTGCAAAAAGTAAATAAAAAAAGAATATGAAATAAGTGGTAAAGATGAAAACGAGGAAGACTTCTCTATCTTCACTCCCCCGATCTCTAGTGAAAGGAAAACAAGATATATAACCATATTTCATCATCAATTAAAATAAGTCTATAATGGATAGCTGAAAATAGAAAATGTATGTATTTCCATTTATATATTTTCGTTGGAGACCTGATGAACCACGTTCACCCGAACAATCACATCCGACCTGATGAACCACATTCACCCGAACAATCACATCCGACCTGATGAACCACATTCACCCGAACAATCACATCCGACCTGATGAACCACATTCACCCGAACAATCACATCCGACCTGATGAACCACATTCAACCAAACAATCACATCCTATCTACAATCAATTTCATCCATTAGCCTCACAAACACCCACATTAAAAAAGCTGTTTCCCATTACAAAAGAGCAAAAGAAATTCCTTAGTAACTAACTCCTTTTTTATAATCGCACAATTAAACTATTTCAAGTTGCTTCATCTTCCCCCTAGTTTCAAGCCATGGCCTCAACACTCATTGTCTTTCTAATGGTAAATACAGAATTTAAATCTTCATACATCTTTTTAAGAACATCTTAAATTTCACGTACACTTGGGAACATCGATAAAACTTATACAAGACGAGCAATCTAATGTCAAACCACAACATAGTTGACAAACTAAATGAAAGAAAAAGTTGAGATATTTAAACACAGTACTTACAAACATATGAATAAGAAATTGGGCAGCAATTTCAGATGATGCATGCAAATTGCAGACAAAGCTTGCTTTTGCATGAATTCTTAAGTCGGGAAAAAGGAAGGTTCGTTTTGATGCTAACCTAACTCCTTTGTTTATGCAGCAAAAGAATCTAGGAGCTGTTATACAGAGATCATGCTGATCCTCGCTCAATCAAACAATCAATTATATGCTAAATGTGATTGCTTTGGTGGTGAATAATATGAGTTACTACTACAGTCAATACCAGTCTGCATCAATGGATTCCATCTGTCAAATATTATCCTGCCACCTCGCCCGATCCTACCTCGAAGTTTATGAGATCCCATTGACACACTGTTCCTTGTTGGAGATTCTGCTGATGGTGGTACTATATTAGCAGCAGCCAACTTCTCTGCAACCAGAGGTTTTGCAAACAACAAGACTGGCTCCAGAGGATCCTGCACAAATCGACAATCCCGTTGAACAGTCGAGAATATACACGATTAGTGTTCTAACAAGAAAAACTATTGAGTTTAAATGTAAGTCAGTTCTCAATATGTTAAACTGCTCGGCAGGATCGCTAGGACACTTGTAGTATCTGCTGCTATTGTAACAAAAGGATGCTAAGTAAGGTTATAAACGACTAAGGTACCATTTTGTGAAGCCATCCATGTGGCAGTTGTTGCCTATTCTCTTGCTTCATGCTTTCAGTTGGGAGCACAATCATGTTTGTCTCCCTAAAAGATCCAGAAATTCGTATTCGTGGGGGGCGACTGGTTGCGATATCGTCCAACTCCACAAATTCATCCTCGCTTGAACCAAACTTACAAGAGAAGGGTAAGAACCTAGGAAGTGCTAAGCTCTCTTCCAGAAGTTCAGTTTCATGCTGAGATCCGATGAGAAACCATGCACCAATATTGTAAGAAAAGATTAAGTAGATAGAGATCACTAGAGTAAGATCAAACCAATTATCCCGGGTATATGAGAACTATATAAAAATAAAACACATAATACACACGCACCTTATACTTCAAGTGAATCCTCTGAAGGCTGACTTCACTTTCCATCAGATCTCTTTTTTTCTCTTCTCTCTGTAAAAAGATCACGTCTTGAGCCAATCCAGTGTTTCAATGTCATATAACTACTTCAAGACAAATGCAAACGCACGTATAATAACACATGAGTACAATGAGTAATCACCTTAATTAAAGCCTCCAGTAAGGTTTTAGCTTGTTCCAGGTTGCGCCTAACCTGAAATTTTACAATCCCAAACATAAAATGATAAAATTTAGACAATGCAATCTATATCAAAAGAAGAGGACATCTGAGATCATTAACGAGATCGAATAATATTCAAAAGAAACAGCAAAACAAATACAATTTTGAGCTCACAGCCTATTCAATCTATCAAACCATAAGAACGTCAGTGACTCGAGTAAGAACAATAATCATCCAATAATTTTGTGATGAACATTCAAATCTGAAATAAATTGTTTTCATTCACATAAATTAGTAAATCAACATGATTTCTTTCCACAGTACTACATTCCTATGTTACTGTATATTACATACACTCCTTGTACTAAACTATTGCCACTGCCTTCAATTTAATTATCTTCTTTTTATTATTATTACAAGTAGACAAGTGAGAACATATTCAACAATGAGGCAGCCTAGTTTTCATTCGTCCAAGATTATTCAAAGTCTGTCTTGAATATTCCAAAAGCTAGCGATTATAAAGACAAAAAACCATATTCTGGCATATTCTGGTAACTAACCATTCAACTAACAAAGCAAACTAACCCACAGCCCGCCAAAACTAAATACTTCTTAATTTTAATTTTTTATGTGAAACATTCTAGTATTTCGATGATGAGAGGAAATATACACAAAAGAGGTGGAAGAAACCCTGAGCCGAAGGAGGTTATAAAAAAGTCCTCCAATTGGCCAAAAGAGAGGATAAACTGTAGCTATGAGGAAAATGGGAAGAAGTTTTACACTAAAACAGCCTACAAGGATATATTATCGACCAAGCTATCAAAGCATGCCTCAACTGATTAACAAGCTATAAATTAATTGACTAAGCCCAATGTAACAAAATCTTAAGTAAATCAATTGTGGTCAATACCATTAAACCTCTTCTTTAGGAACTTTGATTTGAAAGAAATCAAAGAATTTTCAATGAAAATTTTCAACTTTTGCACAAAACCGTGGATACTGCCAAATTTCATGTTTCTACTTGTGTGCTCTGTTTAAACTCTCTTGCAACTATTCCAAGAATATAATCCTCCGTAGATGGGAGGCTTTGTTATAATTTACTTCAGTCTTCAGTTTTCTTTTATAATTTTTTTTTGAAGAAAAAGGATTTCATTAAAGGTGGTTGCAAAAACCCTTACAAGTAGCACAAATCTATCAAGAGAGTAGTTTTATGAGGATGTCATTAGCAAGTTATTTTTCTTTAAGAACAACACTGGTAACTTTTGCATCATCAATAAAAAGATGTTCTCTAGTATGCGCACGCGTGCATTAAATTAAATTTAATCCATGTTTTGCAACCATGTCCTTGGTTGTTCGCGATTTCTTGTTCTCCAAATGGCTTGGTTTCAGCTATTGGGATAAATCAATTCTTCCTTGGAACCTTACATTTCGAAGATTAATAAAGAAAGCAGAAATTATTGATTTACGATCGCTTTTGGGTAGCCTTTCGTTTCTAAAGATTGATTCTAATGAAGACTCTCGCAGATGGTCACTTAACTCCTTTAGTATTTTCTCTTACAATCGTTACCTCATCATTTAGCTTCTTTGATCCCCTTGGAAAAAGGAACTTTTGCAGCTCTATGGAAGTCTATATGCCCCAGAGAAGTAATATTGATTATGATCAATGATGTCCAACCATATCATTTTTTACTCCCCCTACTCTCGATCTAGTTGGCTCAAGTTGCTCCCTTCATCCAATATCTAGTGGGTTTTCTCAAACATTCTTGAGGACAATGTTCTGCAATTACTATTGGTTCTCTGTTTTGATCCTAAGGCCAATCTCATATGAGATAATGCGGTTAAGGCTATGTTTAGAAGTGGTTTTAACTATGTTTAGAAGTGGTTTTGAAATGGTTACCTTGCTTTTTTTTGTACTCCAAAGCATGCTTTTAATTATTCAAAAAAAATTTTATGGCATGAAAATTGCATTTGAAAGCGTAAACTCAAAAGTAAAGTTCGTTTTGAATGGTTAAAGACATGTTTCAAAGTAATTTTGAACATGAAAAAAGTGATTTAACCGTTACCCTAAAGCTATTCTATCATAATTGTATATGGAAACAGATCAAAGAATCTTCTAGCGAGTAACTCTCTTGCTTGAAAATTTTGAAAAGACTTCCTCTTGTATTTTCTTCCAAAATATATTGCTGGATTTTCATTACAAGATATTTGTCTCAATTGGAGTGCCTTATGCATCTTTCGTAATTTAGTCTAATTGATTGTTTCTGTTTTTACTGCTTTCATTTACCACTTTCTCATTTTCACTCCCTTATGGAAATTGTATCTTTGAGCATTAGCTCTTTTCACAAGAGCCCTATAGATATGCAACTACCTATATCGATGTCCCAAATTTAAGGAGGAATTACTGGAAGTAAACATTACCAACTTACTAACGAAGCTCACCCAATTATTTTGATCCAAAATTTGGCTATTGGACATATAATAATTCAAAAATACTTATCGTGCAGATCAGATTTTTGCTTTCCTTCTTCCTTTTACCATTGCCTTTTAGCTTCTAGGTTAGGATTGTAAGCACTGTATAAATATACAAAAATACTCATTTAACAGATGCATGCAGTGCGAGCACACACACAAAGTCATTTCCAACGGCAGCTTGGGCTGAATGTAAAAGTGAAATTAAAATAATCCTATAATGTATGCAACCATGGACTTACCTATAGAGTAATTAATAAAAAAAAATGTCTTATAAACAATCAAACAATGAAAGGACATATGCATAGAATAATAGGCTAAAGTACACGAGAGAATGTACTTGGTTATAAAAATAAGATTAACAACATACCAACGGCAGCAAATAAAGGAAAGAGACAGCATGAAAACCAACAGTTAACACATGGAAGTAAAATAAAATTCAAATTGATGACAGTAGTAATGACCTGGCGAAGCTTTTCAAAAGATTGCACATTGTTTTCCCTCCGTTGCATCTATTTAAAATATCACGAATGAGAAGGATAATATAAGAATATAAAGTGCATAGTGGAAAACTTCAACTACAAACATCCTTCAGTAATTGAGAATGGGAGAATGGAAGCAAAAATCTTCGTACCCTTCTTGTATGAAGTCTGTGAGCTTTCTCCCTTGGCCTAAAAACATTGTACGGGTTTGTGTCATTGACAGGTGGAGGTGGCTGCATAATAAACGGGAGCAAGTAAATTACCTTGTGAATATATTATGAGTAGAGTGCATCACACAAAAATCACAATTGACGAATACTTGAACACAAAAGCATGGCATGACAATATCATATTCTCTACTCTAAAGAACCCAGAGACGAAAATCATGAAAGGCCACTGAAACTTTTTCTGCAAGAATGTTCTTAGATCTAGGACTACGGAATAAAGTTGAAGTTCAATAAAGAGCTTGATAACCAATGGTGAATTTCTTTTTTCTTTTTTTTTGAACGAGAACAAAAAAAAAAAAAGACAAGATCGATAAATTGACACTTAAAAAGACAATGTTGCATTCTGTTGCACTTGTGTGGCTGGACATAGCTCTTTGCATTGAGATGTGTGTAAAATGTTTTATATGATTCATTTTTAGTTCATCTGGTGTTGTGGTACTGCTATTATTGTTCCCTAGTGCCTAAGCTCTCGAATCTAACCAACTTGCCTTCAAGTTTGGTATCATGGAATCCATTAGCCTTTATTGAACCTTTCTATTGGACTTTCAATCGGACTTCAATTTGGCTTTAATAAAGCCTATTGTAAGAACTACCAGGCTCTACAACCTTAAAAATGTCCAACTGCCAGACTAATAAACAATATTCTACTCCTACTAGCTCCTGATCTACTTGGTATCATCCAAGTTTTTATCTATAAACTCGATTGATTTACAATCACCAGTTAAGATATACAGATCTACTGTCACCTTTCTCTTTCTATTAATAGGAGAAGTGAAGAGTTGTTTGCTGAACAAAGGGCTTGAAAATGTTGATTTCAAAGGTTTTGAGGTTGGAAAAGATGTTTAAGTTTTACAGCCACGATGATGCAGTATTTTTTAGTTAGGATATAGAGGAAATGTTCGAAAGTTCAAGGGTTAGTTCTAAAATTTTCGAGATTTTATTGGGTTTAGAATTAAATTGGGAAAATCTTCTTTGTACAGATAATATTTAGATGACAGAATGGTTGAGACGGCTGGAAAATTTTGGCCGCAAGGTGGAGAAGTTTCCATGAGTTATTGAGTTCTGCCATTGGGTGGGAATCATAGAAAAGATTGAAGTTTTGGGAGCCAATTGTGGATAAGATAGTATACTAAGTTGTTGGAGTATTATCTTTCAAAAGGTGGGAGATTGACTTGGGTAAAGTGGTTTTACTTAATCTGCCAATTTGATATTTGTCTCTGTTTCTAATGCCTACAAAGGTAAGGTTGAAAATTGCAGGTTGAACAGAAACTTCTTTTAGAAAGGAAGAAAAGAAAATAGCACACCTAGTAGGATGGGAGAAGGTCATGTCTATGGAATGTTGGGGTTTCGACTTGGATAGTTTAAAAGAAAGGAAAGTAAATAAATAAATAATGAAACTTTACTAATTAAGTGGTTGGGGAAGTTTGTTAATGAAATAACTGGTTTATGCTAAGAGTTGTTAACAAATACAAGACAATACAATACGACATGAATGCCGTGACACATCATCTTTTAAATATCTAGGACACGGACACAGACATGGCAATGACATTCATTAAATATATATTTGTAACAGTATATATTTTTTTTTATACAAGAAGGAAATCTAAAGTCAACAAGTTTATGCATGCTTAAAAAATAAGTTTGAAGTATTTCACTCTCAAAATTTATTGTTTTTGTCATATATATTTTATTAAGTATACTTAATAAGGGTTGAATGTGCATTTAGTAAATGTTGGACCCATAATGATGTATCCTAGAAAAACAAGAAAATTTTCCCAAAACAAATTCCAACTTTTTTTTCTAATGGCTTTGAGCCACTCATAATGATTAATCCAGATTTTACAATTAACGTGTGGATTAGTAAATTTGGGACACTCAAAATGAAAAATAAAAAACATTTTCTTTGGATAAAAAGTAAAAGGATGGTTTTAAAATAAAATATGGCAACTATTCTTCTAAAACAGATGTTGAAGGGATGCTGACAGCTTCCTTACACTCAATTAACCCCCAAACCTAATTTTTGGTTTCCTAGACCAACATTTTCCTTCAAATGGGAGATCAACTACACCCCAGAACCCGATGATTGGTGGTGAATCCAAACCACTCCTCTCGAAAAAGCCCCCTAGGGAAGGACGTCGGTCGCTCCACATCGCGATGACGCTGTGACAGGTACAAAGAATACATAAAGAAGTCATATAACACCTCATGGAAGCTGTTACTAAATAAGCCCAACTTGCAAACAAGAAAAGGAGGCATAAGGAATTTGTTATTGGTGATTTAGTCCTTGTGCATCTTGAAAATGAAAGATTTCCAAGAGGAACTTACAGCAAGTTGCAAAGGAAGAAAATTTGCGGCAATTCTCATATGATTGAGTTTCCGGATTATCTCTCCACCTATTTTTCCTCCTGATAAGATTCATCTTAAAACTCAAGGACGAGTTATCCTTCTTGAAAGGGGGAATTTATGTAGATTGCTTTGTTTATTAGGGCTCTCTTTGTAACGTAGCTTGGTATATCTATTCTATTTATTTGTTGTTTTTTCTTTGTTAATTTGTTCAACCATCCCTGTACTTACAGCCCATTATCCCAGAAGCTACGCCTATATATAAAGGCTAAGGCTTACCCTATTGTACAACTTTCATTAAGATTAATAAAATACCGCCGTAAGGATTTTTGGCTCCACCACTTAGGCTCAAAATTTACATTAATACATAACCCCTTGTACTCCCTACACAAAAGCTATTAATACAAACACACAAAAGACAAATAATTAAACGGACAGTGAATTTCCATCTTTGCCCCTCTAGCATACGTGTGCACTATTGGGATCTCACTCTACCCCTTTCTTTTTAAAAGAAAGAGAGACAAATATCTATTAGAATAAGGAATAGACCAATTGCCACTCTTGGGAAACATATATCATACAGATCTCGCCCCAGATGCCACTCAACCTAACTTACCATTTAATAGGATAAACCTAATGAATATAAAATTATGCACGATCAAGAGTATGAATTACTAGATAAAGGGTACATGTGCAACGTGCTATAAGCCCTTGAGTAGTTCCTACATTTCTAAACCCTGAAAAAGACGGATCCTAGAGAATGTGTATGGACAATAAAGCAATTAATAACATATAACATGAAAAAAAATGGAACAATGATGAACCTGCAAACGCCGCAAAACAGGCTTTTGCCATCGTTCACGCTGTTAAGAGAGAAAAAAAAAAAAAACAAGTATCAATATGCATTCCATTAATTTGAAAAATAGAAAAAAAAAATTAATAGTACAGATCTTAGAAGAATTTGGTATACTTGCAAGAACCCAAAAGGCAAAACACGAACTTTTTTTAGATAAGAATACTGTAACAAACCTAAGCAAACCATTCTCAGAAGACACATCTAATCATTTTCTTTTTAAATTACATCTAATCTTCAGTATCCAACAAACTAGACTGTAGCACTACAATAGCACTACAATATGAGAGCCCTCTTGTAGCCTCTCTTAGGGGTGGAAAGTTTAGTTTCTTACGAAATCGATAAAATCAAGATAATTCCCTCATTTAACATTCTACAAGAACAAAACCAAAAAAATAAATAAATTAATAAACTAAGATAACAAAAAATCAAAACAAGTAATTGGCTAACAATCTAAAACGAAGAATTGAAAATGCAACAAATAATTTTTAAAAAGGGGGAAGAAAGTTTAAAATATGATAGATCCCAAGAGTGTGTTCACTACAACCTACTATTTAAAAATAATTTCTCATTTCAACTCGTGAATAATATTTTTGTAAGATAACCAACACAAAAGAGAGATGTATAGGAAATAGAAAAATCACTAGTTGACGTTCTTTTAAAAGTTGCTACAATAAGCCTTTCATTAAAAAATCAACACTTCCGGAGATGCAAGAACATATCAAATAAAGATCGTACCAAGTTCTTCCCTGTATTCAGCAATTTGCATCAGCCAGTAATTAAAGGGATATCAAATACTTTAATTTCATTTGCTAACTTTAAAAGTTGCTGTATCTTTTATTGCCACTCATAGATGCTTTACTTTTATTTTGGCTCTCGTAATACTTCAGATCTTTACTTTACTAGTTTGGTTGTTTGTTTTTCTTTTCAGTCCCTTAAGGATTTGTACCCTTTCACGTTTTTCTATGTTTTCATAGCAAAAATAAATATAAATAAATAAAGCAATAATAAATAAATAGTAAAACATCTACTAACTTGTCCAAATTCTGCATATTTTAATGCTTCAACTTAAAGTTTTTCACATGTTTTTCTTGCCACATTAGGTCCCCCAATAATGCACCACTTTCGTCACCCCATAGCAGTGTCATATATGCTTCTCAGCTCCTCAAGAAAATTATCTCCCTTTCACTATTTGGCCCTCAATTGCTCATTTAGCCAAAACCATCTACATCCCCCAGCATGATTCCCCAAGCTTAAGGTTTTGGGTTAATTGGTGATTTAAAATTGTTCCAGAGCATGAGGTTTGTGTTTAAATCTCTGTAATGTTATTATCTCCCCAACTAACATTGATTTCTACTTGTTGGGCCCACTACAAATTTCCAAGCCCACAAGTGAGAAGGAATATAAAAGTATTGACATAAGATAAATTTACCAACACCAAACAACTTAAGTTTTTTGGTTAATCGGTGATAAAAACTAACCAATCTCCACCCTTCCTTTCATCACACAACATTCTCCCACAAGCTCTATGCATACCAATCCCACCCAAAGAGGCATCATTTTATCTTTAGAATAATAGATTAACGCCTTCTTTGGAAACTTTGACTTGAATGAAATAAATAACTTTTCAAGATAGTTGGATGAATAAATATTTGTTTTGGGACAGGGTGGTCGGTCAAACTTCAAAATGGAGCTATTTGTACATCTTTTTTGTAATTCCTCTTTGTTAAACATTGATGCCAATTGGAGTGCTTTTATATATGCACCCTTGGCGTTCTTGAGGATGTCCCATCCTCTTTTTTGTATTCCTCCAATTTTTTAAATAAATTAACAAAAGCGAGACATCCTAATTAACATTCAAACTTGTAAAAAACTAGGGGGTTTATTCACACCTTTTCCTTCCAATAATCGTAAACAGATTCAATAATTGAATATCTGATTGCTTGAGTTTGTAGAGCCTGCCATTGAAATAAACGAAACAAACTGTTATTAATAAAATAAATGAAACAATAAATTTCCAGAAGACGTGAAATATCTATCAAAAATTGATCAACAAAGTCATTCATTGCTGCGTTAGAAATATTCTGCGTTCTGGCTGATGTTTTTAGTATATGCATCCAGGGTACTTGGAAGGTATAAAGTCACAGGAGCCGAGGATCTTCTAGTTGAAGCAGATAAAAAAGGAATCTCAGGGGATAGTAATTTTGAAATATATACACAATACAGAAATGGTCTTAGAACTGACAAGAAATGTGATATCTGAGATATTTTTTGGAAAAAGTCTGGGTTCACACATTCTAACAAAGGGAAATGAGGTATAATAGTTGAGAAGGGAAGTTATTAGTTAGCTAGCCTATAACCTATTGTAAGAACCAAAGCTAACTATTGGAAGATGAATGATCAACAGGAAAGGCAGTCAATTGGAAGATCGCACAGAAATTGGGAGACATTCCAGATATATCTCAAAAGCTCTAGATTGTTGAATACTCTAGTATTACTACATTCCTATATGTACGACTGATCCTGAAAAATTGGTTGGAAGAAGTGAATAGAGTGTCAAGATCAGTAGGAGGAAATCAATCTATCAATGAGGAATATTATTTATTTCTTTGTATATTCATAGTCATACTTTCCTTTTTAGACTTATGCTAATTACTGATTTTTTTTTTATCTATGATTGAGATCCTCTTTTTTTTAAACCAAGAAACGAGACTTTTAATTGATGTAATGAAAAGAGGCTAATACTCAAACATACAACTAATCTTATTTTCTCAATCAATAATATACAAGAAAATTACTCCCAAACATAACTTCATTGCCTGTGCCAAATTAAAGTCACACATATAAGATGTATAGCATAGCATTAAAATAAATCAAATGGAAGAGACTTGCATTGTGATGAATATTGGATCGATCCACAGAAAAGTAACAGCAATAATTCAGTGTTAAAATATGCAAAATTAAATCAAAAGTTAGTACAAAATGCCCAAATATGATAAAAATATATATCACCTCAATAGCATTGTCACGTTGTAGAAGTACAGGAATGGGTGAACCAAGAGTAGTTGTTATTATACCAGCTCTTTCTCGAGCCTTGTGATCCAATACCTCCAATTTAAAGAGGAAACTCTCAAATCTGTATTGACAAGTACACCTAATTAGCACCTTCTCAAAGAGAAACTAAAATCACATTAGCACCTTTCTCAATCTTTGAACTCAAATTGTTCAGTCAACTATCATTGGCACACAGCATGGCAACAATACACCTTGGAAAAGAAATAAGGACGCCATGAGGCAAACCAAGGAGGTGACTCACATAATGAAAGATGGAAATGGTCAATCAAGAGGAAGCATGTTCTAGAATTTCTAATAGTTTCACACGTAGCTATAGAAGAACTGAGGTTAAGGAGGAATTATATAAATTGTCTCTACCATAAACAATAACAACAAAAGGCAGATTCTTGATCAATTGATCTTACAAAACTATTTTTACTCAACACTTGAAAACTATAAGTTCTGACCATTGCTGACTTTAAGTCGGATTTTTTTGTCATTCTCTTTCGCCAACAGCGGCTTTTATTTCTGATGAACATCAAAGTTAGGATAAATAATCACTCTGCAAAAAATTTCTCCTCGGGAAGCACGTTATTTTTCTATTATGATCTTAGAACCCTCGTCCAAGATCTCCAATATCAGTAACACAGACAAAGTAAAAAGTAATAATTTCATTTTTCAACACATCCCCATGGCAAGGTCCTTTGCACGTCATTGCATTGACCAAAATATCAAATGCCTTTTCACTTTTCTCTTCTGGGTTCTGGAAAGAAATAAAAGGAATCCTTTAATTCACTCAGTCAATTTCTGAAATCCTTTAACTCATTACACCTACAAATCACGTGAGATAGAAAACAAGCCCAGTACCACTTTAGAGACACAGCATGGACGGTCGTTCCAAAGGATAACAAATACTAATATTGAAAAGCGGTCGCATTTCTAAAGCTTCAAAATCAACCTCCTATTAATAGACTTCAACTTAGTTTCATGAGAATGATGAAATCAAGATTGAACTTGAGCATCACATCTTTTTGTTAAGCTTCTTTTGGCCACGGAACCAAGGCCTCTCACATTCCATGAGAGGATAACAATTAGGAACTAGCTTTCAATTACGAGTAATCAACTTCTTGTTTTTCATAATTACAGAGCAATGAAAGATTCCTTGACCTCTCAGTCTATTTTTCCTCTGGGCCTCTATGGTCTTGCCATCAACTTCAAGATGTCTCTAGAGGAAGCAAAAAAGAACCAACAACTAAAAATTCCGTTACAACTTATGCTAAAAGAAATTGCAAAACCACCTGTGATCAATTCAATAACGGAGATACTAACATTCCTCAATTTGGGGACCTTCTCTTTCTCAGACTTTTCTGTCACCTCAGCTTATCCCACAGTACACTATCAAAAAAAAAAAAATGGAACTCCACAGGCCCAAATTAGTTGTTTGACACCCAACTGCACCTTTATGTATTATAATTGATGGACAAACCAACCCATTTTGAACCCTCCATTTGTCCACTGGGCTTATACCGTTCCCTTCCAGCCCATTGTAAAACTGTGTTGCTACTTCAAACGAGAAGCTACCATGGATTTCAACCACTTTTCATAGCAACAAATTACAATCTTGAAAAGAATAGACTTGTGTTGTAAAATCTGTCTTACCATCAATCAAATTGATCTCTACTAGAATAAATCCACAATAGTTGTCTCTAACTTCAATTGCTCTTTTACAGGCTCCCTCGAACAAGCAAAGCATTCATCATATTCAATAAAGCCTCCAAAACAATTGCCAATATCTCTAAATAACTCCAAGCCCCATAAATGATGTGAAATGTTTCTGAAATTCACTCAACCACCATATGATGGGACAACGCCAGGGTGATCCAACCCACATTTAAAGCAAGAAGACTGGCTAGGAAAGGATTGATTATAAATGTTAATTGAAGTTAGTTCTCAAAAGCCTCTAGAATTCTACCCTGGAAGTCTCTTCTTTAACCCCTCTAACCTCTTTCCAACATATTTTTTTAACTTCCTCCTTTGTCTCCTTTTCTTGTACTTGGAGATGCAACTTCATCATCGAGGAACCTGAAGTCTTCTTTACTGCATCTACAGAGAGGATAACCTTCTAGTGATTGATCAAGTGAGGGGTTGGACTCTTCCTTTTTATAAAATCCTAGAGAAGGTCTTTGAAGTCCTTCTATCCTTAAAATCTTTACTTGAAGGTATTACCACTACTTTTGGCACCTTTGTTCAAAACCTTCGTTACTTCTATGAAACATTCTTGTTCGTTGACTTTTGAAACCAAACAAAGTCGTCTTTATAGAAGGACTATCGAAAAAACGTTTTGCGTTCGAGGAAAAAGTAAAAGGTCTTCCAATGTGTCGATAACCCAGACCACCACTACTAGGACTACAGAAATGCAGAACAATTTTTTTTAAAAGTGAGCCTCTAGAAATACGAACAACCCTTCCCCTAGCCTATCTATCAAAGTCACACTAGAAAGTTTGGTCTTCAATCTTCAAGATAGCTTGCATAATGCCTTAGAAGTAGTAAACTTACCCTTTAAGGACCAGTCCAATCATGGTCGAAGGGCTTTTCTGGTAAGAATCCATATGGAAAAGGTTGGGTAAAGACTTTGGTTGAGAGAGCCATGATGTGACCCTTCATTAACCACCTCTTGTGTGTATATCCAAACATGTATCCAATTGATCGTAATGTTCTCATGTAGGTCTTCCACAAATCTTGTGATTTGGTAATTCTCATTATCAAATAGAATGAGACACTAAAATGATGGAACTCCACCACGAGTCTACAACTCAACAATTTCCTTGATAGCATCATCAGTGTTGATGAGATACAACAATAGTTCATAATGAGCAGGCAAGAATAGATCCTTCATTAACTAAAGCATTATTGACCAATTGTGTGCAGGTCTTTTTCTGGCTCTTCTTCGATTAACTTGAAGTTTGTCCCACCAAGTCGAAGCTCCTGCTCTCAGCTTTGATGCAAAGAGCTAGACTTTTTTCTCTTTTGGTCTATTTAAGTCAATGAAAAAAAAAATTTACATTCTTGATGAAATCAAGAAATGCCTCTATAATCATATTTCCATTAAATGTGGGAAGATCAATTTCCATCTCAAAGTCAATGGCTATATTCTCTTGTTCTTGATTTGGACACTCTTTCAATTCTTCACTACCCTTGAAATAAGCAAACAAAATCTTCTTCTTTGCTAATGTAATCTAAATATTGAACCCTCATTCACCGATCTTAGTTTCTTAAAGGTTGTGCTTGATTTGCTATGTTTCTTGCATGTTCAAGGGAGTGAGATCCTTGTCTTTATTGATTTATTACTCTAGGGTTTGCTCTCCCTAGTTGTTAACTCCATTTCTTGCTTCAAGAACTTCTTGGTTTTGTAGATTAGGTATAGGGATAAAAGTTCCAATTATTTAGAATTGTTCCCGAAGTTCTATGAATTACATCAAAACTTGTTCTTAAGGATCCTTACGACAACAAGAGTTAGATTGTAGTCTGAGGATAACAAATATTAGGTGGATTGATTGAGGATCCATATCACACCCTCTAGGAAGGATTCGCCCCCTTTCCAACCATTAGATCCTAAAATCTATGTGTTACTCATACCACTTTTAACATATAACCAAATGAGAAGAATTTATTGATCAAGTTGTGTTTGAACACAAGTGAGAATTAGTATTTATAAGCTTTTCCTAGCTAACCTAACCAGCCTATCCATCTTCCAACCGCTAGTTTATAACAAGCCACCTATCAACAAACTTAACCCTTAATAGCTAGTTTATACAAAATGGTTACTTAGTGTGAGATCCCACATTGGTTGGAGAGGGGAACAAAGCATTCCTTATAGCTAACCTAACCAGCCTATCCTCTCCCTAGCGGAGGTGTTTTAAAACCTTGAGGGGAAACTTGGAAGGAAAAGCCTAAAAAGGACTATCTACTAGCGGTCGATTTAGGCTGTCACAAATGGTATCAAAGCCAAACACTAGGCGGTGTGCCAACGAGGACGCTGTGCCCCCAGGGGGTGGATTGTGAGATCCCATATCAGTTGGAGAGGAGAACAAAGCATTCCTTATAAGGGTTTGGAAACCTCTCCCTAATGGATGCATTTTAAAACCTTGAGAGGAAGCCCAAAATGGAAAGCTCAAAGAGAACAATATTTGCTCGCGGTGGGCTTGAGCTGTTACACTTAGCCTCAAACAGCTAGTCTCAAGTAACTGTGCCATACCTAGCAGCCAACCTACATCAGCTTTAACAACCCAAATCAATTGTCTTGAGATAGCTATGAAGGTCCATAGACCAACTGGTTCATGTTGTCTTTGGAATCATAGTCAAAAACCCACACTAAGTTGAAGATCCAAATTGAAAGTGCAAAATATCCATCAAATAAGGACAATAGAAGAACAAATGCTTATGATCCTCATTGGCCAATAGACATAAAGAACAACCAGTAGATTGAGCGAAGGAAAGTCGATGGAACAAGTTTCTAGAATCCATATCTCAAACAACAAAAAGTCTGCATGACCAAAAATGAAAGTTGAACTAAGAAAATTTACCAAACAAAAGGAAGGAAATGTGCACATACAAGAGAGGATCCAAATATAACTTAAAATATTAGCAAGCAAGGAACTACATGATGTTAAATAACGCTTTCCTCCAGCAATAACAACTAAGAAACTCCTACTGTCTTCGTATGGTGACGTCAACTCTTTTAAGTGATATCAGAATTCAGAAAATATACTATCTTTTCCTACATGGAATGGTGGAAGAGGGGAAGGGGACGGGCGTTGGTACAAGTTGAAAAACTACCTTTCAGGAGTAAGTATCTTTCTTTCTCTGTTAAAGTCCTGAAGCCAGTCCTCGTCTTCATTGTCCAAGTCATACTCAACAAACTCTCCAAGCTCTGTCCGAGCTGCAAATAAAGAGAGAATGCTCACATATTATATTTACACGCAGGCATTGATAATGGTAGAAAATCTTAAGTCTATAAATATCAACAGAACTGTGTTTATCACCAACCTCCTCTGCCACGTAAGTAAGAAGTTGGCTGACTAAAAGTGCGGGAGTAGTCTATCTCATATGTATCAACCACAACAAATTCAGGCGTGGGTATATCAGGAGCCAATTTCTTGCAAGGCACTTGATGTACCTAAATTAAGGGGAAAGAATTTAGATTGATCTAGACAAACATGGGATGACGGGAAGCACTAAGATAAATACAGTGCCAGTACCTCATTATCTACCTCAGTCGCAAGACGAAGCAGTTGGGAATTGCGGGTAGAGGTAGGGGTTTCGTCATCTTCCAATTCTTTCACAGACTTGACAATAGGAAGCTTCTTATGAATGTCAAGCGGACGAGGCCTGAACGACAACCTACTCATTGTAGCTCATTTCTATCTTTTCCAATTCTTTCCGATGCTCCAACCTCTACCACTGCAGGTTAAAAATCGAAATCCTAATTCACCAACACGATGAAGAATTCCAGTTTCTTGGATACAAATCTCCGCCACTGAAGAACCAAAGTTGTTTACAAAATTTAAAAAAAAAATAAAAAACTATATCATGCACAAATTGAAGCTGTAGAACACAATTAACGGCAATGGGAAGTCAGCGAAGATCATACGAGTATCCCTGCCTCTCCCTGTGAACCCCTCCCCCACTTCAAACCCCCCGACCCATAACCCTAGCATCCAAGCAGATCCCCCCAGCGTAATAACTCCTCACCTTCAGAATCCGCGTTCTTGAAATCTTCTGCCCTTGTCCCCTTCGAACTGCAACTCGTCCCTCAATCCGAGCTCACAGGGTCAATCGTGAGAGGAAACGGAAGAAAAAAAAACGATAATTATAACAGTAGAATCAAGATTAGAGATGCATAGAGAGATTGGAGAGAAAAGATGAACCGGGAGGTACGGGGATACGTCCGAAATCAAGCACCAGACATGCTGAAGGGAAAAAACAAGCACATTATTATAATCATGTATAATTGGATCAATAAAGCACAGTATTATCGTGAAAGTCAATAAATTAATAAACTCGTTAATATTTTATTTTTTAAATATTTTTATATTTATCATTTGTATTTTTTTTTTTTTAAATACTTTTAAAGGTTAATATTCTTATCCTCCATATATGGACACAAACTATCCATCTCCATCTTATAGATCATCTTGTAATTTTTAAAAAATTTCTGGGTATTTTTGAAACGTGTTACAAACTTTCCGCTCATATATTGAAGACAATGATATTTTTGAACTTTTTTTTAAAAAATTAAAGTTATTAGTAAAACTTTTGAAAGGTTGAAGTAATTTTTAAACATTTTTTAAGGTTAAAAGATGTTCTTTAAACTTCAATGGTACAAATAAACAAAGTATTAACGATTTCTATCGTCGATATTTTTATAAACAAATTAAAGGTATTAGTTTATTTCTCTGTAAAGATTTTCCTTTTGGCCCGACCCAAAATTCAAATTCACACGAAAATCAAAAAAAAATATCATTTAAATGTTTGAGCTTTTAAAATTATTGAAATTTTTAAAAATTTTGAGTGTTTTTATTAACATTCAAAATCATCTATAAATTTAATATATATTGGTTTATTTAATACACTATATCTAATAGTTTATTTTTCTTATTTAATATATTTAATATATTAGAGGTGTTAAATATTAATAGGTACATTTTAAATTTTTTGTTAAGTTAAATTAATTATTTTAATATTAGGGGTCCTTGTGAACTCGCACATTATAAACTTCAATGATACAAATTAATTAGCTAAACTTTTTATTCAATTAATTTTCATTCATTAAATATATCTTTGAGTACTACTGATTTATGAACAATTTATTTATCATCTCATTATAATATCAAGTCTCTCTCGAGTGAGTGAGAGGATAGGACTCTATTGTTCAAATTATGAACTTATGCAATGCGACGAGTCTTCGCCACTGTTTTGAGAAGTATCAACCCTCGTCCTTCATGGCTGGCTTACTTGGTTGGAATTGTCTCTATCCAAGTCACCATTCAAATCCATTATCTTTTTATTCATCCCCAACGATGATGTACAGGTTTGTTGGTAGAACACTGTTGATCACCACCGACAACGACATTGTTGATGCACAAATTTTGGCAAAGCGAACGCACTTGATTTGCACTTGATTTGGTTAGCATCATATATCACATAGAAGCTTTTTCCCATACGAGAGTTGTAAGTCTATTGTTGTGTTTTAGAATAAGGGGAAAAAAGTAATAGAAAGAAAAGACATTAGTTAATCTTAACTATTCATATTCCATCGATGAGAATTCATTCTTTAGAGGATCCTGATCACCCTAAATCGACAATAACAAGACCAACCAACCTGGGACGCAATCAACCATGAATTTTGAACGTCCATCGCTTTCTTTTCAATCGTGTATTGATTCAAGGTAGTTGTAGCTTGCTTCCAAGTTCAAACGCTAAACAATGAAAACTTCACATTGGTGTAGTGTTTGCCATACATACTCCATTGCATAAGTCAAAGAGATCAAAATGTAGTCGGGTTTAGGTTTAGAGAATGAGTTCATCTATATGAAGGTTGACTTGGGTTTCATTTCCCTTCTTCCGAATTGGTTTAGGAAATGGTTGAACCAACCATTTTTTGAGGTTCATTAGTTTGTGGGCTCGAGGTGACTTTCCCTTCTTGTCTTGACTCACTCGACTCAGCTAGGCTCGAGGTGACTTTTAGGCTTTTAGCTCGCTCAACTTTATCCCGAATTGCCCCTAGTAGTTCTCTGCCCTTTGATTTTAGTTCTAGTGTCAAAATTTACCCATAACACCGGTAAACTTTTCTAAGATTAAGGCAATCCAAGAATGGAAAGAACCTATAAGGAAGGATGCCCATAGCTCTTACAATTGTCAAGGCTCTAAAGGGCATAACCGAAGACTTATTGATAGATTTCATTCTTCGACTCTTCTACTATTCGACGGGGACATTATGATAAAATGAAAAACGAGGGAGTTCCTCTCTTTACTCCAAATCTAAAACATATTATATCGTGGCTTAAGTTGCATGTTTCTTAGAAATATTTAAGTTAGATTGGTCATCAAACTCGTGGAGTATTTCAACTTTGGATTGAGAACGAGTTTTTTCATCTAAAGGCTTGACTATCAAGATTAATTCTTTGACGTTTCGTGGATAGTCCTCATATAATACACATGTGCATAAATCCCATCTCTTTCGAGCCACACGAGCTTGCTCCATAAACTAATAATCTCCTGTCAAATGCACATTTTTACTGCATAATCACTCAAAATTTTCACCCAAAACTTCCCCCAATTTCACTGGATGGAACAATTCCAATACATAAGACAAAATGAATGGTATCATTGATTTCTTTTTGGTATATCACTATTGATGTAACAACATGGCGAGTATATTAGCACTTATATTATAGAATATCGAAGAAATTAATAAAGCCACATGAACCAGCTGATGAAAAACTTACAACTCCATCAATAATGGTTACCCAGTTGAAGCAGACACTGTTGTTGAAGCTCGAAGTACTTGCTGCAGCAACCGTGCAGCAAGACGCTGCGTAATCCCGCTGAAAATGCGGCCTCCAAGGCTGCGAGCCTCGGGCTGTTGTAGGACCTGTTTGTGCAACATATATAGCAAATTTAGGGAAGTTTCTTATGATTTAATTGAACTTCATCTCACATGACATTCTCATCTACAGCATAATGCGAGCCTAGTTTCAGTAAAAGCACTCAAAGAAGAATTTGCTAATCCGTACCTGCACTATGGGTTGCAAAAGGGCAGGATCAAAATTTTCAGAAGATTGAAGTAGTCTCCATATCCTCAGTACCTGATCTCGAAGCTCTATCATGCTTTCTTGTTCTTCATTGCTCATCCCGAGAGTACGAGAAGCGCTATCCCTAAATACTATAAGTCTCATAAAATCAGGCATAGAATTATACGTATCGTTTACTGTCCCCAAAACAAAAGCTTCAGTCACACGAATCGCTTCCTTAACAGCTAAGGCTCGGAGTCCCTCGCCATCTGGACCCAATAAGAGCTTCAGAACAGGCTGTAGAGCTTCTTTTACAGAGAAGTCTCTGTCTTTTCTTCCCTGAAGCAACAGGTTTTCAAGTCTACTCCATCTGTAATGAGCAGACGACAAGACAACAAATTTTTCAAGTGAGCAATCAATAGGATAAATACATAATCAACAGTTTAATGAAGAAGGCATTGGGTCTTGTATTGATTGTGAAATGAAATGAGGTATAAATTGTGAAGTGGTACATGCCTAAACTTCCCATCCTTGAAGAGCAACTCGATAAGAGCATCTCTCAGATAAGGATTTGGATCTGTCAGAAGCCTTTTAGCAAAATATGGATATGAAGCAGCCAGAACTTTGAAATTTGGATCAGCATACAGTGCTAACCCTTCCAATACTGTGAGCGATCTCAAAATTAACGCGTAGTATGCTGGCACTGGATGATAATTAAGAAAGCAAACAATCAAGTTTAGTAATAGGATAGCGTTTCTATCAGGAAAACATACAGACAATCTACAGCTTCCAATTGAAAATAAAGAATAAACTACCCATAGTTAGATATAGATTTTTTTTTAATAGCAAAAAGACAACAATAAGAAATAAAAACTACATGATCAAGTCGATTTTGTGCGTTTCTAACTATTATACATCTGATAATTGTAAAAGAGAAACGTATGAACAATAGCACTTTAATTAATATAAACTCTAATGACTTTTCCTAATTAAGCTACTAGATTTCAGAAAATTGAAATATGGAGGAGGTGGACTAACTCACCATTGAATGGATATTGATAAAATACTGCACCCAAACCATCTACTATTGTTTTGAAGTTAAGTTCACTCACAGTTGCATTAAGAGTGTCGTCAAAGAAATTCCTAAGAACTGGCACAATTGGAGAAACATCAGTCTCAGGTGACAAGAAGTCTAAAGCGTAATAATCACGAGCCATAGCTTCATAATCTCGATTAACCATGTGAACAACGTGCCCAATAATTGCGCATCTTGCTTCTTCTGGAGTCTCACTCATCATTCCAAAATCAAGAAAGGCAAGTTTTCCCTCCGGTGTCGCCAACAGATTACCGGGATGAGGATCTGCATGAAAGTATCCATATTCGAGTAGCTGTCTGAGGCTGCACTGTATGCCGGTATTCACCAGATCCAAAACCTTCAGCCCCTGTCTCTCAATGGCTTCCTGCTCATTTAATTTCACACCATCAACCCACTCCATCGTCAAAACCTTACTACTTGTATAATCCCAAAATATGTCTGGGACAAGGACATCTTCCTTGTCAGCATATAATTTCTTAAACCTCCTAGCATTCTGTCCTTCCTGCATGGCTCCAGAAAATTAAAGTTAAGAACCTCAAAAGATATCAACACACTTATGATAGACTATCAGAATTAAAAATATGTATCATAAGAAAACCTAACCTGTACATAGTTAAGCTCTTGATAAACTCTGCGAGCAAATTCATCTATAAGAGCAACGACATCACTTGAGATGAAGTCGACATATTTATTAATGAGAAAGCCTAAGCTCCTTATCAGGTAGAAATCTAGTCCTATAGCTTCTTCAATGTTCGGGCGCTGAACCTTTACGGCAACCACTTTACCAGATTGCTTGAGTCTGGCTTTGTAAACTTGACCCAAGCTGGCAGCCGCAATGGGAGATGGGGATATTGACGAGAAAATGGAATCAAGCGATAGTCCCAGCTCCTTCTCAATGCACAAAAATGCTTCTGCATCTGGGAAGGTTGGTAGACCATCCTGTTCAGAGGCAGTAGCAGTTAAAGGTGACATAACCATCTAAGCTCCATATATAGTTGAATAATACATAAAAACATCCAGTGAGTTTAATTAATGCCTTGTCAAGAATGGGCTTGAACCACTTAAGTAACCTCAATTGTGCTTTTGGAAGTTTTCATCAGGATCACTTGAATTTGGGAGATAAATTTATTTAGGATGTCAAAAGCAAAAATTGGGAGAGGTGATGGATACCAAGTTCAAAATAATATCTTAGGCCAAGTTCCTAGAATTACGATTGAGCACTTTTCCCAGAATGGAGTTCTGAGATAAAAATGATCAAAGGTCAAGGTAAGGACATGTATGATTCTTGACATGAAAAAATTGTAAGTTCCAACAAAATTTAACATTATCATGTTCCTTGTTTGGAGATTAGTAAAAGATCTATAGACATGAGTAATGAGATAAAGCTACCTAAAATAATTCGTCCGAGTTCTCAGGCTAGAAGAAAAAAGATATTTGATCAATTAAGTAGGAATGCGATGGTGAAATGGAAGGAGAAAAGAAATGGGGATAACACACTTGGAGTTCAGAAAGCTCCTCAAGGTACTCGGGAGGGCAGATGTCTGGCCTGGTGGACAATCCCTGGCCTAATTTCACGAAAGTAGGACCTAATCGAGTAAAAATTCGTCGCAGCTCAGCAGCACGCCGCCTTTTATTTTGATCGAGTTGGCCACTGTTTTTGTCCAACCACAATTTGATGCCAAAAGAACTAAGCGCAACCAAAATTTGCAGAGACCTCCGCAATATCTGGAAATTTTGGTCAAGACATTCGATTAAACTCTAAAGGAGGTAGAGGCAGAGGTAGAGGTAGAGGTAGAGCAATTTGGGCGAAGAAAACCTCAATTGGGCGAGAACCGTACGTATTGGCAATAAGGTCCGGACTGTAGAAAGGAGCGTTAGCAGCACGCGCCATCGCCCTGGCCTCCGCCTGCAAATCATCAGTCCGATCGACAGCCAAAACCAGTTGAGTCGGCAGGGAGGTATCGCCGTTAACCGCAGGCAGAGCCCTAGGTCTGGCCTCAACAAGAGCCGCACGAGGGTGGTTTGAGCGAAGAAACTTGGGATTAAGAAGTGAAGTTCCATGAGGAGAAGCGTTGAACCTGGAAATGGCGTCGCCGGAGCGCCATAACGAATATGGAGGAACAACGGTGCTCATAGTGCGGAACCAAATGGATGGTTGATTGTTGAAGAAGATTTGCAGAAATTTTGGTTGGGTTCGTCTCCTCTCCTCTCTTTTCCCTCATAATTATTTCGTCCACGGAACAGCAATAAGTAGCAGCCACAACCACCGTCCTATGGCGTGTTTGCAAACTGCACTTGAGAAAATGGAAATTTGTCGTTTTCCCTTTTTTTTTCTTTTTTTCATTTTCATATTTATAACCTATTTTCCCGTCCCTCCTTGTGGTTGGGTTGTAAATTTCGGATGAGTTGGATTGATAACTCAGTTACTTGAAATTGCTTTATAACCTAACTCAACTCAACACGATACCAATATGTCACGACTCGATTTTCAAGGCTTCGAGACTCGGACCATGACCCAAAAGATGAAATCGAAAACAAACAAAAAAAAGAGTACAAGATAAAAAAAACCAAAAAACTGCAATAAAATTAAAATATGTTTGAATTTAAAATTCTTTTCAGTAAATCAAAATTGTTCGGGATTAGATACACCATGTTCCTTCACGGCCAGTCAATAGCACATTACCATTTTTGGAGTAGACAATGAACCTAACAATTCTAAGTTCATTTGTTTTAGTAGGAATTTATTGTTCATTGAAACCCTCAACTTATTGACGAATCTACCCTATGTTTCTTTCCGGTTCTAGAGAACTTTAGTTACTTGAACATACGTTCTTTTTTTAACTAATTATTTATTTAATAAAGAAATTTATTTTTCAATTTAGTATTTAGATTAGTGAATATCACGATATGCCTTTCAGTGAACATGCTATTAACTTAAATAACCATAGATATTTCGATCATCGGAAAAAAACGCAGTAGAAAACACGGTTTTAAAAACCTTTAAGCGGAATTATAACTAAAGTAGTATTATACTATCATTTCAATGAAAACATAACCAAAATGAAGAAAAACTATTTACGACTTTGTTCTATGTTCTCTTCAACACACACCATTATTTGTACACCCTTTACCTTTTCACTGGAAAAATGATTAATAATAGGATGAGTATTTAAAAACAAACTCAATAACTAATCTCACTGTTAGAGTCCGAAAATGCAAGTAAATGAAACTATAGTTACTTGGGTGGATTTGGATGCGTGGTACTTTTCTATGCTCAGTCTATGCACGTGCACATAGACCCACTAGAGGAATACCAATTTTTCGTAAATCCTAGACTTACATATGAGCTTGTGTACTCTCACTAAACCACAAAAAGAAATACAACTTGAAACCATATATAAGTATGCGTATGTACAATTATGCTTGGGGAAGTAATCCATATTCCATGTACATGCATAAGTAAATTCATGTGAATATATAATGATGCATATAATACTTCTATAAAATCATGACATACACATTTTACGAGGCACCTATCCATATCATTTGAATCAATATTTATAATACATTTTCATTCATGGTGCCTCGTAAGTCATATACATGGCCACATGAGTCTTGAACGATCATATGTAGAAGCACATGCGTCACATAATACATATACAATCATATCAACAATAATAACATGTAAACAAGGCATAGATGCATCATTCATACAACATAAACTTTCATCCGGTTTGCCCATATGCATTCCAATAGTAGATTCACTTGCAATATAGACTCAACTTTGATGCTCCTAAGTCATTTTCAGCTAATTGTGTCTAAGATTAGCTTAAACATGATCCAATTCCACTTAAGGTATTTCATCCATTCAAAATAATGAGCCTATGGCTAATTCATAGAGCTAAAATAACTTGATTATCTAATTAAATCTTAAACCGTACCAAGTTAAACAGTCTCATAGAGCTAAAATAACTTGATTATCTAATTAAATCTTAAACCGTACCAAGTTAAACAGTCCCAAGTAATCTTAATTGGCCAAAAAGTAGCTATACTAACCTTTACTTGACTCAATTTGGTCAAAAACGCTTCTAGAATGGTCTAAAACGATCAAAACAAGCCAACCCTTCTTCACCTGACTTTCACACATCCTTAATGTGTTGGATGATGCACCCGTCCTCCTAGATCGCATTATATAAAAAGTCTATCTCCGTAAGAAAGAAAGATATAGATAAACCTCTCCATATATTTTGAATAATTGTTTTAGAATCTCATGTGGTTGAATCACATATGAATCTTTTATCAATACTGCAAGATGATTTATATTGTCAACCATGTAGCTACCCATTGATGAATGTTTATTTGAGCAAAGGAATATGCTTTATTTGAGCTGTTTGCAACCTGTTTCTCTATCATCTATAGCATCTCCTTGGGATAGAGCACTCTATACTTGAGCCGAAGAATGGAAAGGAAGTGCACGATACTACGTTTACAAATAGTAGTATATGTGACATTTAGTTTGTGGGCGAATGACCCTAACTCCTGTAAGCCCAATTTTGGAATACATCCAACTTTCCATTGTAGCAGTATCCACCCTTGAGAACCATCATCAGAATACCATTTTACTCGAGGATTGATGGTCATCTGCAATCAACAGTTTTAACCTGAGCGTCCACTATGCAACCATAGGAAAATCTACAGTCACAGATTCATAGCAGCAGTGGTAAACATTAATAAACATAGTTAAAATAAAATTTCAGAAGGTGAAAGAAGCCAGCAGATGTCACCTTACAACTTCGTTTGTGGAACAGAGGGCCTTTTAGCTATATGTTATTTTGTGACATCTGTAAATTTTCGATAATAGACCTTCTCGAAAGCAACATTGTTATGCACTAAATAGCACAATATCCAGAGCAAGTAAAAGAAAGCAAAAACAGAAGGTAAGACAAAGACGAGATAGTCATACAAGGCCTATGGTTATAATTGCGCAACAGAAAGGGGTGGGTTGGGGATGTCTACTGCTATCAGAGAAATGTCTGAGGCTAACAGGAATATCAACTATTTTTCACCATGGCTACAACTCCTTGCATAGCATTCTTAGCCGAACAACCTTCTAATTAAGAATACATCAACATAATTTCGTTATGTATATAAATAATAAACACAACGGCTACATATCTTAATGTGGGGATATTTGTACACAGTCAGACTATCAGTTCAAGTCATGTAGATGGCCCTGCAGAAAAAAAAAAGAAGATTAATCACATGTATAATCATACAGATCAACAAGGGGCATTAACCTGGTACAGATATAATTCATGCAGCTAGTAATTATGATAAGATCTACTACATGCAGCTAGTACTTATGATAGCTATCAGTTGTAGTGTTAATCATATTTTCTCCAGGAAAAGGATTGACCAGAAATGAATTATTCATCTTCAAATGACACTGTTCAATCATCACAAGAAGCAAAAACGGTTGAGTACAACTTAAACCAAGCACCACATGAACCTTTGATGGCTTCGCTTGACTACAAATTTTATGCGAGAAAAAGCAAATATCCTTTATCAGAAACAGCTTGTTCGATCCTTTCTACCATACAAGAATGTACACGGCAAGAATGTTGTTGCATGGATTCATGCTACAATGATATATTTAAACGATAGATACTTCCAGTATTTGTGTCAGCTGCCGTGAAAATAAAAATTTGTATGCAGAGAGGTGTAATTTTTTTAATAATATAATAAAATCAACCCCGAGGATCCCACATCAAATGCCTCTAGGTGGTGAGCTAAGGCTAAATTCTTAAAACTGTAGAGTTGCTTGAAAACTATAATTTATGTAACTACTTTGAATTTCCAATACAACAAATGGACCCGTTAACTAAAATTCGGGAAGCAGACATGTTACCTGTAGCTTTTCCCGTTGCAGTCCTGTTTCTTTCATCTCTTGAAATTCTCAGGGACCTTAATTTGGAGGATGACCTAATTGAATGGATGAGGGGCGCTTCTTCATCATCTTCCTCATCTCGCTTCTCTTCATCATGAACATCTTCTTGGTCAGATGCACTAATTGATTCCTCTTCTTCACTTGTACTTTGTTCATCAAAAAGTCTTTTTCCCTGTATGGTATGTTTTTTACGTGGTCGACCCCTGCGTCTGGTAGAATTTCCTTCTTTCTCCTCTACAATTGCACAACAAACAAGCACAATTTAGAAAACTAAACCAAATATAAGCTAAACATAAAAATTAATTTTACATTTGAAAAAAGATATAAGCTAAGGACTGTAAAGAAGCCATTGGAATCAATGCAGCATAGACCCTTACGCGCCATTTATTCAATAAAAATAGGAATGCCCCAGAAAAAACTGGCAGAACCAGACTGAAGTTGTCTGTTTATTCATCTTCTCTGAACTTCCTCCAAAATCTCAAATTCCAGAAGTTGGCGGAGTTGTCCCATAATATGGAGGTAGCCACAGGCATCTCATGTCATGAGAGATCCGATCGAGATTTGGAAAAGTGTTGCTAAAAGAAGATGGAATTTTGTTCACGATACTTCGAATTTTATTCCATTTAGTCCCTTGTACTTTCAAATAGTCAAGTATAATCCTTGTACTCTCAAATCATAAAATTAAGCTCTACAATAAGTTTATCGTTAAATTTTCTAAAAAATATTTTACCTCTATTAGTCTTTTGCCCAAGAAGAATGAATTTGGACATGGAACGAAAAGAACTCTAGAACTTTTAAAGATAAGTTCCTACACTTCAACTTTTTTTTTTTTGTAACAATGTACAAAATACGACTTCTTTAGTGGATATCTCTACACACAAAGTGGGCATTAGCTATAAAATAAAAAACAGAGAAACCAAGAACCAGAGAAACCAAGAACCAGAAAAACCAAGAACCAAAAACAGAAATCAAACAGGCCATTAGCTATATTTAGCAGAAAACAAATCCAGACTTAAATAAGTAAATTCAGGAGCCAAAAAAATCCACAATAGAGAGATACATCTAAATCTAATTAAAGATCATGCATATTCAAGCAAGAGAGATCGGGTGTGCCCCTAAAGACTAAACTGAGAGAAACAAGTTACCTTGCAAACCATCACGTTTAGCATTCTTTTCACGCAAGTGGTCAACGAACATATGATATGGGCGCCAGCCACTTGGGTCTTCATCTGTATTAATATTTTCTGTTCGATTCTGGACATCCTTGATACTATTTGAAAAATGGTTACGAATTAAATT